AGACGTCTGATAATCATTAAGACATATTTCCCCTATGGATATAATTGATACAGAAAACAACATTGAGAGTCCACAACTCTTTGTGTAACTATTAATTGAATATATTCTTTCTTTTTCTAATTTACCTAATACAGAGCATAAGACAATGATATTTGAAAGTATTTGGTAAGTGCTACTTGACTTCCTGGGAGTGTGTTACGAGACTTTAATAAAGCAGCAAAAAGTAGTTACCTGTAACTCTTAATATAAATATATGATTACTGGGTTTTTTTTCTTTGTTTAATAATTTGTCAAGTTTAGAGAAAATTTGGGATCAGAGGGAATAGTTTGTCTCTGTTAAAGGTAGAACAATCATATTTTTTTTATTGCTTTCTGGCCACCTTAGTGCTACTTAGGAGAATCATTAACTCTGATTAAACAAACATATCCCAAGGGACCAGCAGTTAGTGTAATAATGGCTATGTCGCTGAACTACCATGTAGTCAGTCAACTGTGATTCGAGTCCTGGACCCGGTGGTTTAAACTTACGCCAGGCGCATGTGCCTGCATGTCCAAGATCCCAAGAGGAGAATGGAGGAGAAGGGATTGTGGCGTGGCCATTCCCCCTTGGGGGTGATTTCTCGCTTTCTGTCTCTGTCCTTCTGGTGAGCGTACGCACCCTGTAGCAAAAAAAAAAAAAAAAAAAAAAAAAAAAACTCTCCAAAAAAAAAAAACAAAAAACATGTCCTAAGAGAGAATTTTGCTATTGGGTGCATGTGCTCCCCAGAGAGACAGAGACAGAGAGACAGAAACCGACAAATCACCCCCCAAGGAGAGATGGCCACGCTATAATCCCTTCTCCTCCATTTTCCTCTTGGGATTTTGTGTACACACGCATACATGCTTGGCGTGAGTTTAAGCTGCCAGGCCCAGGACTCAAACTGTGATTGACTATGTAGGAGCCCAGCGACGGACGTAACCATTACATAATCTGCTGGTCCTATAAAGTCTGTTTTTGACTACAGTTGCCTAAACTCCCAAGATGAACTTTGTATAATCCATACAATCTATAAATATTTCAGGTTAGCATTTAAATAGGCACTTCATATTTGAAGCTTCATCTTTCATATTTTATGAAATGTTAAAATATATGAGAGGACTTGAAAAGGTTAGTGGAAAAATTAAATTAAAAGCATGAGTTCAGTGGGTACAAAAAATTTTGAAATCCATGCATAGTTTTTTTCACAATACACATTTTTCACACTTTTTGATTACTCTCTCTCATATTAAAAATGTTTTGTATGTAGATCACTTTGTCAAGGAACTCCCTACAAGTAGCTGTTTCTCAATTCACCGCCAGACTCCTGCATAGTGCATGTTTCAAGATTAGAAGTTAGATCTCAACTCCCACAGGGCACTAGAGATAAAATATTTCTCCCCTAAGTCCTTAATAAGATAGTGTAAGTTATTCATATTTCCGTATTCAACTAAACCATTTAAATGATGTTTAAACCATAATAGTCCTTAATATGACATTGGTTACTGAACAATGTTAATATTTTGACGGAGTAAGCTTTATTCTAAAGTGTGATTTACATCTTTTTTAATCTGAACTTTTCCAGCCTGAATTACCTCATAAACTTGGAAGAGCTTTAGGAATAAAGTCAGTTTGATTCCCTCGAGTCATCTGTCACATTGAAAATACCTATCTATATAAACATACATACATAGCAGACACCATCTCTTCATTAGGGCTACTGCCATCATTCATACTGCCTGTCTTGGTAAAATATTAGCTAAGAGAGTAGGCTTTTGTTGCACAAGAACATTGCCATGTACTACCAAGTTAATAATTGTCTTGCAAAGTGATTAGTATAGGTATAAAAATAATTTTGTATAATTACTTTATACTTTAAGGCTCTAATCTAAAAATTACAGAGTAGATAGTTTTTCACATCAAGCAAATGATGGAGTTAAAAAAACTTTGTTCTTAGATGATATTTTATTGACTGTCTCAGTTACCAGTATTTTACAACAAGATAGGAAATTTTATTCAATAATTCGTCACAGTTTAGAATTAAACAGTTATAATAATAATAAATTGGTTGGGGTTGGCAGGTGGCATGTTGGTTAAGGGGCTGGACTCCTGCATGCCCGACCATAGTTTGAATCCTAGGCTTGGTGGCTTGCTTTCTCACTTTCCTTTTCTCTTTCTGGTCAAATTAAAATAATAATAATAATAATAATAATAATAATAATAATAATAATAGATCAAAATAATTCTTAAAAATATGAGCTAGCATTATTCTGGAGACTAAAGGAATTTTAATGAGCTTTATATTCTTAAAACATTTTTTCCTCAAAGTGTGGGAAAGATTTTTCTTTTTCTTTTTTGAGAGGTTTTTGCTCTAGAGCATGTGTGCTTGACACACAGAGACAGACAGAAAGCGAGAAATCACCCCCCCAAGGGGGGATGACCACACCACAACCCCTTCTCCTCCATTCTCCTCTCAAGATCTTGGGCGCACATGCGCCTGACGTGAGTTTAAGCCACCAGATCTGGGACTTGAACCATGGTTGACTACATGGGAGTCCAGTGACATAGTCATTATACCAACTGCTGGTTCCTGGGAAAGATGTCTAAGGTTACAAAAAAATCTGTGGTAAAAATGCTAATATTGGCATGAGAGAAGAGTAACAATAAACTAAAATAGAGGTAAGAGTTGTTCTGTTAGTTACTTTTACTTTTAAAAGACCCAATTCACATGAATGTGTTCTTTTGGTCTGTAATACAGGTTTTGGGATTCTATCAGAGTTAGTGGATACCCTTGAGCAAGTATGAAATAATGATAACAATATATACCAGGAAATTTATTGCAACATTGTTTATAATGTCAAAAGATTGGAAACAATTCAGGTTTCCTTAATAAATGTTTATATATTCATATACAAAAGAATAAATGAAGCCATTGAAGGAATGCAGTAATTCTGTTTGTCAGGTTATGGAATAAGCTCCAAAATTTAAGTATGAAAAAGGCAAGCTGCCTAGATGTATATAGTTGCTAACATTTGTATATGTAGAGCAAAGCATAATATGTGTGTGTGTGTTAATAAATATGTAAAGTTATACTCATAAGTTACCTTGTAAAAGACACCAAAAATTTGTGGTAACTGGTTGCCTCAGGTAGAAGGGTTTAAGAAAGACCTTACATCTTACTGTGTGCACTTTTCTGTCTTTTGGCATCTATATTATATGCAGTGTTTCCTATTTTAAAAATAAGTAGTGAAAAATACTCTTGTTCCTTGGTGGCGTGGTATTAAGTAACAGAGATATTGGTTAACTGTCCTGAAGTTTTGCCATCTTGTATCTTGCTGCTCATCTGTCATTTTGTAAACTGTAGCCCACATTGTCAAGTCTTTTCTTTTAAAAAATTATGTCACACACCTTAATCTTAAAGAAAGGAGTTCTTTGCTTTACAAAACATGGTATAAATAGGCATTTGCTTTTTTTTTTTTTTGATAAGTTTTTGTTATAGGGTCCGTACTCTTGCTAGAAAGACCGAGAGAGACAGAAAGTGAGAAATCACCCCCCAGGGGGGACAGCCATGCTGCAATCCCCTCTCCTCTATTCTCTCGGGATCTTGGGCACGTACACACACGCGCCCAGCGTGAGTTTAAGCCACCAGGTCCAGGGCTTGAACTGCGGTCAGCTACATGGGAGTCCAGCGACATAGCCATAATGCTAACTGCTGGTCCCAGGCATTTGCTTTTGATAATTTTTTGTCAAAACAGCCTTGTGATCAAGCTAAACTAATAATTCTCAGAAGACTCAGTTTTTTGTTGTTTTGTTTTAACCATCCTCCTGCTTCAGCCTCCCAAGTACTGAGATTACAGGTATATGCTGCCTTGCCTGGCTTTTAGGTTGGAATGGAATAGAACCCAGGCCTCCTGTTGGGTGCTAGACTGTGGAGTACAGTGCACCCCCATAGTTGGCTGAGATATAGTTTTCATTGATATTTTCTTAATATCACACACGAATGTTGGTAACATTTTTTATTTGTTGCAAATATATTACTAGCTTGTTATTTACTTTTGAAAATTGCTAATTTTGTATAGAAGCTTAAACATATATATAAATTAATTTGCATTTTCTTTCATGCTTTAAACTTAGGAGTTAGGAAATTTATCTGGTCCCTTAATGTTCAGTTTCCTTTGTACCTAATTTTCATAATTTGACTTTGCACATTTTACTTCTCATTGATTGTGTAGGCACAAGCTTTATAGAATTGAAGTTTCACCGTGGGTTTTATACTGTAGTTTTTAAAGTATTAGAGGTTCCTTGACCAAGTGTATTATTTATCCAGAAATGAGCAGGTTCTAGGGGTCAGTCATTAACTTAAACTCTCAAGATGCTATGTATAGTCCCATGGTAACCAATATTTGGGAGAGTACTAGGATTAAGTCTTGTTTACTAAATCCGTGTCATGTTATGATTCAGATTTCAGATCACAAAGTTGCTTGACTTACTCTTAGGACAATGGGAATTTTATGAATATTTATATCAAGTTACGGTCACTGGGTAGATCAGGTTTTTTCCTATCTTAGAGATTTTTGTGTCTATAGTTACAATATCATGGGTAATTAAGCAACTGTACATCCTATACAGTTCCAAAGACAGGCTAACAAACTATTTTTTATAGAAAATGTGCATGCCTTTTCTGACAACCTAATAGATAGATGTTCTTTGTTTGTTTGTTTTCTTTTAAGAAAGAATATAACATTCTGTTTTCCAAAAACCTGAATTCTCCGACTTCCAGATTCTTTTAGTATAGTCTGTCAAGTGTATTATAGTGGGAAAATAAGACGGCCACTATTAAAACCCCTCTAATAAATCAGTATACTTGGGAAATATTTGGACTTTTTAAAGTTATGTTGACATTTTTGCAAAAAATCATTAATTCATTTGGAAGAAAGTTATTTGCTTATTTCTTGTCAAACTTAGACTGCTGTTTATGTTTCAGGGAGGAAATAATGCTGGCCATACAGTTGTTGTAGATTCTGTGGAATATGACTTTCATCTTTTACCCAGTGGAATAATTAACCCGAATGTTACTGCATTCATTGGTAAGTGTATAAAAGGTTTCTGTGTTTATATTTCCCCTCTTAATTGATAAATGGTATTCATTTTGCAGTATCAAAACTGATTTAATCTCTCTCTAACCAAATGGCTCATCAGATCTCTTATTAACTTTGACCTTGATATCTTCTAGAATATACCTAACTTTGACTATTTACACCTTGTCCTTTTTTAAAGAGTTATTGTATTTAACTTTATTTATTTATGTTTTTAATTTAACCATAGAAAGAGTGAGAGAGAGAGGGAAGGTGAGAAAGCAAGCTGCCAGGTTCAGGACTTGAACCATGGTTGGCCACATGGGAGTCCAGCACCCTGAACCACCATGCTATCTGCTGGCCCCTACCCATTTTTTTTTTTTTAACAGAGATTTTTGCTATAGGGCACATGCATTTGCCAGAGAGACAAAAAGTGAGAAGTCACCTCCCCGGGGAATGGCCATGCCATGCTACAGTCCCTTCTCCATTCTCCTCTCGGGATTTTGGACACACACACACACATACATCCGGAGTGAGTTTCAGTCTGCTAGGTCTGGGCTTGAACCACAGTCAGCCATATGGGAGTTCAGTGATGTAACCATTACAGCATCTGCTGGTCCCTATACCTTTTTTAAATAGTAATACTTTTGAGAATAATTATCACTATAAATTAAACAAAGAAAGACAAAGATTCATGGATTAATCCTGATTTCTTTTTTTTTTAAAAAGAGATTTTTTGCTATAGAGCATGTGGTGCTCACTGGCACAACCTCAAGAGATAGAAAGTGAGAAATCACCCCCCCAGATAGGATGACCACACCACAATCGAGAGATAGAAAGTGAGAAATCACCCCCCCAGATAGGATGGGCACACCACAATCCCTTCTTCTTCATTCTTCTTTTGGGATTTTGGGCACTCATGCATACACACTTGGTGTGAGTTTCAAGCCACCAGGTTCAGGACTTGAACCACAGTTAGCCATGTGGGAGTCCAACAACATAACCTTTACTCCATCTGCTGGTCCCTGAGTCTGAATTTTTACATGTAATGCCATCCGATATTTTCTATTCTAGTTTTATAATATTTAAAAATGCTAATCACAACCCAATGAATTGATATTTATGTCTACTAATAGGGTGTAATTCCCTCTTTTTGAAAAACATTGATCTAGTGTCTTCTGTGACCAGATTTGATTTGTCCAAAAACTAGTTTCTTACGTGTTTCACTTAGTTTCAAAGAAATTTCAAATTATGTTGAATATAATATGTTTTATATTCTGTATTTTATATTCTAGTATGTATTCACATTATATGATATTTAAATATTGGAGACATTTCTTTGGTAAATCAGAGTGTCCTATTAATCAAAGTATCTCACTTCATGACTTTTCTAGATAAATGATTATTGCAAATGTTTATAACATCATTAAATATGTTTTAATATCATTATATATGCCCATATTATAAATATGGATGTTTAAGGTTGGGATTTGTTTTGTTTGTTTTCCTTTAGGAAATGGTGTGGTAATTCATCTACCAGGATTATTTGAAGAAGCAGAAAAAAATGTTCAAAAAGGAAAAGGTATGAAAGTCCACCTGGTAACCATTTTTTTTTTTTTGGTAGTTTCATTAAGATTTATTGATGTGTCAGACAAACTTAGCACTTTTGTCTTATGCTTTAGAGTTTCAGGTTATTATAGCACACATTTTTCATGTCAATTCTTTTTTTTTGAGAGAGATTTTTTTGCTATAGGGTGTGTGTACTCGAGAGACAGGAACAAATGGAAAGCAAGAAATCACCCCTCAGGGGGAATGGCCATGCCATAATCTCTTCTCCATTCTCCTTTCAGGATTTTGGACACGCATGCACACATACCCAGCTTGTTTCAAGCCACCAGGTCTGGGACTTGAACCGCAGTCGGCCATGTAGTAGTCCAGTGTTATAACCATTACGGCATCTACTGGTCCATTTTGGGTTTTTTTTTTTTTTTTTGAGAGGTTTTTGCTATAGGGCACATGTGCTTGCCAGAAAGACAGAGAAAGACAGATAGAAAGCGAGAAATCACTGCCCAGGGGGGTTGGCCACGCCACAATCCCTTCTCCATTCTCCTCTTGGGATCTTGGGCACCCACGCACACGCGCCCCATGTGAGTTTAAGCCACCAGGTCCAGGGCTTGAACCGTGGTTGGCTACATGGGAGTTCAGCGACAGCCATTACTCTAACTGCTAGTCCCATCTACTGGTCCCTTTAATGACAGTTGTTAAACTGTATTCATTATAATCAATATTCTAAAGAAAAGATGAATATACCAATGTCACTTATAACTCCTGATTTGTTTTTATACATTGGTCATCTAAAAACTTTATCTTAAGGTAGCTGGAATTACTGTGTGTTGGCCGTGAAGCACTAGGAAATATATGAGTATATATATATATATATATATATATAACCTAGGAATAAAATTCTTTAAGTCCCTTCTTCCAAATTTGGGAGGTGTTGGCTTCTATGTGGTATATCTATAGCCAGGGCCTTAGAAGAAATAGCCTTGGATTCCTGCCTTTGCTGATCTCTTGGATTTTTAGAGATCTCTTTATTCCAGCCTCCTTAGGATGTGAGGGGAATTTGATAATACAGATAATACACAACTGAGGAAAATTACTAGGATTTTTCCTTTAGATTTATTGAAATATGCAATACTCAGTTATAGCATCGTTGACATTTATCGTTCAGGTTTAAAAGTAGCCATCTGTCCTGAAGTGTTTGTCACAATCAAATCTGACTTTATCGAACCCTTGCTACCATCTGTTTCCTCCCTGCATTTTTACCTGTACCCCAGTGTGCTTCCTAAATGGCCAACCTGAGGTTCCTGTGCTGCTCTCTGTTCTGCTTTATCCCATTTAATAATTTTGCCCCACTCTCTTTTTCCTTACAGCCTGTCTGACCCTCCCAAATTTACTTTACTGACTTTCCTTGTAATATTTCTTTTTAAAATGAACTTGTGGTACCAGCAAGTGGCATGGTGGCTAAACGTGCTGGACTCCCACATGGCCAACTGCGGTTCAAGTCCTGGACCTGATGGCTTGCTTTCTCACTTTCCCTCTCCTTCTCTGTCTCTCTGACCAGACTGGAAAATAATAATAATGATAATAATAAATAAAATTAAATAATTCCTTGAAAAAAATAATAGAGTTGTACTTTAATTCCATTCTTCCATGAATTTATTTTTAACTTTTAAATTCTTGATATAGAGTGCATGTGAGAGAGAGAAGCACCCTCACAGGGCTCAGTAATACATTCCCCTTCTTCCTGTCCATCAGATGCTAGGATCCTTGGACACTGCCCACATGTGCCATGTTTTCAGGCCAACCAGGCTGGGTGCTTAAACTGCAGTTATCCTGTGGTCTCCAGCTCCACAGTCCAGCCTGTTACTAATTGTGCCACAGAGGATGAGGCAATAATATATTATTCATAACTGTCCCTAAACCAACTTTAAAATGCATATTTACATGTCAGAAACAATTGTAGAAGGGGAGGCTTAATATTCCAGGTTTACTTTTTTAAAAGATCTAATTTTATTTATTGTTATTATTTAATTTGACAAGAGAAAGAGAGAGTGAGAAAGCAAGCTGCCATGTCTGGGACTCTTAACTACAGTCAGCTATGTGGGAGTCCAGCACCTTAACCACCACGCCACCTGCTGGCCCCTCCAAGTTTACTTTTTTTTTTTTGCCATAGGGTTCATGCTGCATAGAGACAGAGACAGAGTGAGAGAAAGTAAGAAATCAACCTCCTGGAGGATGACCACACCACAATCCCAATCCCTTCTCCTCCAATTTGGGGCATACATGCACATGTCTCATGTGATTTTTAAGCAACCAGGTCCAGGACACTTTTTTTTTTTTTTTTTTTTGAGAGACAGATTTTTCCTATAGGCTGTATGTGCTCACCAGAGAGACAGATAGAAAGCAAGAAATCACTCCCTAGGGGGATAGCCACTCCACAATCTCTTCTCCATTCTCCTCTGAGATTTTGGACATGAATGCATATATGCCCAGCGTGAATTTCAAGCCACTGGGTCTGGGACTTGAACCACTGCCACCCCCCTCCCCCCATTTTATTACTTTTAACACTTCAGCTTTAGCACATTGCCGAGGAAGTTCTGTCCTTAATCTATAAAGAATAAAAGTGTCAGGTCCAGCTACAGTGGCATAATGTCCTAGGTCTGTGCTTGACCATGTGTTTATTTTTGCTGACTATAGGGCTGAGGGGAGAATAGTGTCTGAGACCTTGTTAAAGGTGCCATGCCCCCTCCTTTCTCTATCTCTCTCTGAGTAAATAAATTAATAAGCTTAAAAACATGATATATTTTCAGGCCATCCAGGTAGCATGGTGGTTCAAGATTGTTGGCTTCTACATGGCCGACTGTGGGGTTTGAGTCCCAGACTCAGTGGCTTGAAAAAATAGACTAGGGGTGTCTGTGTGTGTGTATGTGTGTGTGTGTGTGTATACCCAAAATACTTAGAAGAGTTTGGAGGAGAAGGGATTTCGGTGTGGCTTTCACCCCAGGGAGTGACTTCTCATTTTCACTCTCTCCTGCGAGTGCGTGCATCCTATAGCAAAAGGAAAAAGAAAAGAATCAAAACAAAACTGGGTATTATCAAAGGCATCAACTAACTTTTAATATGCAAATAGTACTTTTAAAAATATTTGAAGCTTTGGCAACTTAAAATCATATAGTGTATTAAAATACTGTCTTTAATGAAAACATCTACTTGGATTTATCTTTTAATTCCACAGGCAATGGTTTCAAAATTTATTGGGTGACAGGCCCCATACTATGATAACTCATAGGCTCCATTCTCAGGCATTCAGTAGAAAAAATGGGAAGATACATGTATCTTGTTACACTTCAGCTTAGGAAATGCAATAATTGACAGTACTATGGAGGAATTATTAACACAATTTTTTTTAATCACACTTTCTATAATTGTATTTTGAGTAAGAGTGCCTTTCCTAAAATGAACTAATTTCTCCCTTTGCTAGGTACTTATCCCTCAGTCCTAGCCCCACCCCCACCTGCTTGCAATCCATAAAAATGATATTTTCCTACCATTTGCTTTTTGGATTCCCAGAATTCTTTTTTTT